GGAAAAAAAAAAAAAAAAAAGAAAAAAAAAGAAAAAAACGGAAGAAAAATTTTAAAAAAATTTTACCTTCTTGATCTCCATGCTGCCGGGAGTACTGGAACGCTGCGGCGGCGGCGAGAAGGCTATCTTTTCGTACGGTATCGTTCCACGGCAGAGAGCGCTCGGATCCAAACTGAGAGCGGCCTTTAGCGCGTTTTTCTTTAACATTCCATTTACGTTAGTGGCATTCGTATTTAGGCCAGCGTGACTAGGGGAGCAGGTACGTGTGTTGGGTGACGAATTCGTCGTGTCTGGCGGCGTATCGGAGGAAGCAACGATCAGAGAGTCCGAGTTGGTGTCGGTGGTGGTCACGCTCTCGTTGCCGTTTCTTTTATCCACGTCCGTCACCTCGGCCGTGCTGCTTCGACGACACTCGATATCTGTTGGACGGTTGTTTCCATTGTCTGCGATTTTTAACTTACCACTATTTTCGATGTCCGTTGAAGTTCGATGTACGCTTTTCTCATCCCGGTTCGAGCTGTCGGCGTTGTGTTTCTTCTGGAAAGTTTCGTCAGAATTCGTCATCAGATACGTACATGCGTGTCGTAAATTTTGTTTGGTGTCTTTTTCATCGCTGTTGGCCATTAATGCCGATCCTCCATGTACACAGATAATGACACACAGATAACGGAGAAACTCGATAGAGATTACGCTACGTTAACAATAAGTGAAATTTCCTTTTCAAACAGCGAGTCAACAGTGAGATTGGAGCACAAAATAACGGTGTATACAATATTTTCACGCGAATCGGAAGGGAATTTAGAAAACGGAAATTCACTAGAGAACACGTGAAAAAATGAAATTGAAGGCCATATCAATTTCGTTTTAATTTTAATATTACAAGTGGAACATTAACAGCCAACGTGTTACGAATATAATATAATAATAAATATTACACTGCTGATACAACTAGTAACATTCAGTTGAAACCAAATGACATCAAAAGGATGAAATGTTTAACATTGGAAAATATGAATTAACGAATAGCACGAATGCGAATAGTTTGCTTAAAGAAAAAAGATAAGAAAAGGAAGAAAAAGAAACACTAGCACACATGGTAGCATAAATATTTACATACGTGGTATGTAATTATTCGCACAAATACTCTGCTATTCGTTTGTTTAAATAATTTTTAATTCATCGCTACTATACGAGTTACGTTATGCTTTATATTAGTGTAAATTTGATCAAATTTAATTGAAATTCAAACTGTTTAATTAGTTTTTGTTGATAAAACGTAAGTAATTACGTGGAAAGTTCATTATTAAAATAGCAAAATTAAAAGTAAAAGTAAAAAAAGCACCACTGCTTGTGCAAATATTTGTGTCAATTTAATACGTGTCAATTTAAATTGTACCCATCTATTGGTATTGATCAAGATTTACAATAATAATATATACAGACGATAGTATCTAACTGGGTACTTGAGTAGAAATATTAACACGTTGAGTGCCGCGGAGGTCACCGGTGAGGCCACCCCAGTAACATTAATCCGCTAAACACGATTGCCTATATCGATTAGGTAACGACCGAGATTCGTGTTGGCAGCATCATTCTGGACCAGTCATGGAAAATCATTCGTGACATTCAACGTGTTAAATACGCAGTGCATATGCATAGCGAAACATCTGCTACGGTTGGAAGGACGAAAAAAAAAAAAAAAAAAAAACAATTTTCGTGAGAGAAGATCGTAAATCTCCGAAATTAGGGAAAATGATATATAAGCAAAAGAGTTTACCTAAGCTTCGAGCGATGGTACAATAAAAAGAAGGTATAGCAGAGAAGCAGAAGAGAAATGTTTCTGGTGTAGAACGCAGAATATCCAATGTACCTCTGTATGATCATTCTCGTGATTGAAATCGTCGCGACTCGCGTTCCCGCCAACGGTTTGTTCGGTTGTGTCGGACGTAGGGCCATACGGATTTCGGATCTCTGTCGGTGGCACGTTATTTCTTTCGTTCGAATTCGTTCGGTTGGCGAAATTTTCGTTTCTGGCGTTAGGGTTATTGCCGGCAATAGCTTGAGCCATACGTTGACTAGCCGATCGCGGATCGATAATTCTGGGTTGCATGTAACCACATGCGTCCAGCTATAAAAATTACAGTACATACACAGTTACATACACACCACACACACACACACACACACACACACACACACACACACACACACACAGGAGAGTTCGATGAAGAAGAAGAAGAAGAAGAAAAGGGAAAAGAGAAAGGAGGAAAATGTGTGGCGAGAGGAGAGATTGTTTTTAGAGTTTAGTAAAGCAAGTTTTCACTTGTTTGTGATATACATATGTATGTATGTATGTATGTATGTATGTATGTATGTATGTACGATAGTACTCACTTCCGACTGCACGTTGATGCATTCTGTTTCCGGATCTGGTCTCACGATGCTGACTTCACGCTCGCAGATTGGTAAAATATCGAAATTTGGCGTTGGATGTTTTATCACGTCAGGGTCCTAAGTGTAAATGTTATCTTTTGAAATCAGACGAAACATCGTTTCGAATCGTCGTCTGAAATTCGTTATTCCGACCGTGAGATGCACGGCATGGTACGCTACAAGATAAACTAATATGACAGTGACGTGTGAGAAAATCTGTGGGAAGCACACAGGGTATTGTGATCTAGCTCGAAAGAAACGTCTCTCCTCGAATCGAGGAGTATCTTAAACCTGAGTATCTTAAAAAAAAAAAGAAAAAAAAATGAGGCATTTATTTTACACGGCACGATATTTATCCGTATTCTACTAATCGCTAGTTATCGTGATTGCGTCGTAACATCGTAAGTCATTAACACGAGAACGATTCGTCGACTGATCTCGAAACGCACGTTATAGGACGTTTTACGAAACGAAACGAAATTGATTTGCACTTTTTTTATCTAATTTCGAATTTTCAACTCGACAAAGAGTCGAATCATATTTTCGATAATCTTCAGCGAACAGGTTGATAAATTTTTACCTGTAAACAGTAACCAATTCTCTCGACGATAGTGGCGAAGCTAGGCCGGTCCTCGGGTCGCGAGTGCCAACATCGTGTCATTATTCCATAAATCGGGTCGGGGCATCCCGCTGGTTTTTCCAGACGGCCCCCCAACGTTACCATCGCCATAGCTTCCCTGTTGGTACAACCGGTGTAAGGTATATAGCCAAAGGACATAATTTCCCACAGTAGTACGCCAAATGCCCTATAATTGGAGAAATTAGTCGCGTCAATAACCCCTTCATATGTATATACGACATGTATATACTTGTTGTACGTGTCTTCATTTCGGCAATGGTAACGCTTTTAATCGCAGATCATTTTAGAGAACTACCAAAGTGGTGGTCGAATGGATCAATTTATAATTTTTGTTGGATATTTTATAGACACAGCGAAACAGCGTATTTTTAAAGATTTGAATAACTTTTCGTGACACGTAAGTACGAGTAAAAGCTTGTGCGTGACAGTCCGTTGTAAAGTTTCTCCACTTTATAGACGACATCCACGCGTTCAGAACCATAAAAAGTACACGCGTGCATGCACGCGTTTAGCGTCTGCAGCGTTAAATGACAAAGAAACTTTTTTGCCATTTTTCAAAAGAACCATTAGGTTTTTTGCAATCTGTGGAAAAGTTTTACCTTCGTGACGAGTAGAGTACAGTGGAAAAAGGAAAAGGAAATTTTCCGACCCTGAAATTCTTTAGGAAATTCTTTCTTTATACACATATATATATATATATATTCCGATTCGAGTCGAAAGCGAAGACAGCGTTCATCTATGACAGCTACGGACAGCTACGGACAAGCTTTTCTTTCCACCATCGCTGTACGTAATGGTATGTACGATGGGTTAGGTTTGGGTTAGGATTGAAAAGGGTTATTTCCAAGTCTCACCAGACGTCGGTCTTGGTAGTGAATATCCCGTCCAAGAAACTCTCCGGTGGCATCCACTTGATCGGCAACATGGCCTTGCCTCCCTTCCTGTAGTAGTCGCTTCTGTAAATGTCCTTGGCCATCCCGAAGTCGGCAATTTTCACTACCCGGCCGGGTCCTTTGCACGTGAGCAAACAGTTTCTGGCAGCGATGTCTCGATGAATGAACCGGGCCTCCTCCATGTACTTGCAACCATTGGCCACGTCGTAGCCGCACATTATCAGATCCTGCATCGTCAACGACGTCGGCCGGTCCTGCCAAAACAGGAATATACCATAGGCATGCAGCCGAATGATGACGACCAGAGCCAAAAGTTTACGGCTGTGCCTGTTGTAAATTGCAATCGAGAACGACAGACATGTAGTCGACGGAAGATAATGAAACGGAGAATGATACGAAGAAGACACGATAGAAGAAGAAGAAGAAGAAGAAGAAGAAGAAGAAGAAGAAGAAGAAGAAGAAGAAGAAGAAGAAAAAGAAAGAACAAGCGTTGGGGAGATGGCACCCGATAAATAATAAACCGTGTAGAGAAGCTCGATAGTACAATAAAATTCACATTAAAGGAAAGATATAAAACAGATGCAAAGCATCTTCGAGCCTTTTAGGAAATCCCCTGCGAAATAGGACCCAGAAGGAATAAGGGTTGCTACGTCGAGGTAAGATCAAACGATACTCGAAAGTGGAGATTAACGAAATTAAATTGGATTTAATTCTATGCGAGCTGTCGAACGAGTGAGTCTGTCGGACGAGCTGCAGCGCGTTTAAATAATTGTCGAATTGTACGAGTGTGTATGTAATCGTATGAATAATTACACTACAACTGTATATGTATACTATTTATAGTTATAGGTAGCTGGAAATCGAATGAAAAAAAATCAGTATTCTCAACAGAGTAAAAATGAGTTTGTTGGATGGAGCTTGCTACTATGTGTGGAGTATTATTATAAATGAGTGTTGCTTCGGTTATTATCCAGCGATGATTATGACGATGATTTGATGCGAAGAAAGGCTATTTACCGCGCGTGGTCTTTCCTCTCGAAGAAAATTCTTCAAATTCCCGCCGGCAAGCAGTTCCAACACAATGTATTTTGGATTCTTGTCGAAAGACACGCCGATAAAATGTACGATGTTAGGGTGATTAAACTTGCTCATAATCAGCGCTTCCATCATGAAATCTGCTTCGGTTTGAGGCATGGACAAGGAGGGTATGGTCTTGACGGCGATGGGGTGTTCTTCGTTGCGTCTGTATTTGTACACGCCTTGAAACACTTCGCCGAAAGCACCTTGGCCAAGGGGTCTACCAAAAAAAAAAAAAAAAAAAAAAAACACAATTACGTGGATCGATTCGGTGGACATGAAGCTGTCTGTAATTCGTCAATTTATTAACAATTTGCGTAACGAACAAACAAATTCTTGGTCTTTGATTCGATTCGAGTCGATCATCGACTGAAAATTGCCATTGAATTTACCAATGGTACTTACTTTACCAAAGTGATACACTCGCGAGGTATTTGCGGCAAATCTTTGAAGCTGTAGAGGTTCCCAGCAAACTCGTAATTGGGATTGAACTCGGTCATCATGGTGTCGGAAACGGCGCGCAGAGAGGTTAATTCGGTACCGTTGCCAAACATTACTTGTCGTCGTTGTAGAAGCGCCTTTCGACTTTGATAACGATTATCTATCGAAAACAAACAACAACACGTGACGTTTACGAATCGAATTGTAATTTCACGTTGTGTAATTGTAATCGAAAGTTTATCGAAAAGTTTCAAAAAGTTTCTTACAAAGTAGTAGGCAAACGGCGGTGAAAGCAAAGAGTAGGCCAATGCTTGCAGCTATCAGTAAAATCATGTACGTTTGATGCGTGACCTTTGATTCGTTGGCCACTGTAAATGAAACGATTGTCACACGTATGGAAAATTTGGTGAAAAAATCAAAGTTGCTACAAGTAGAAAAGATATACGGAGAGAGAGAGAGAGAGAGAGAGAGAGAGGGGTTTACATAGTTTACTCACTAACGCAAGATATCGAATCGTTGCTCAAGAACCAGCCTGGAGGGCAGAGACACTTTGTCTCGCTGAGATGCCGATCGAGAGAGACGCAACGAAAATCGCAACCGCAACCGCTGATAGCTGGAATGATGTAAACTTCGCCAGGTCCGTGGTTTATCGCTGGCTGGAAGTGAACGTGCGTAAGTTTGTTGGTAGCGTAGGAGTAACCGCCTTCACCGTTACCCAGTTCCTTGTGTCCGGTGTTACCACCTGGTAATCACGACAATTGTCGAATTGTCGATAAACGAGGCAAGAGCTTAGAAGAATGATCGATCCGTCGATCGATTGATTAGATCAGATTGATTCTAAAGTTTCGAATGAACGCTTGAAACGCACGCACGACTCGTGGCTCCAGGCAGTAGCCCCCAGAGTCAAGTGTCCGCACTTTTAAGCTTCATCTGCTCTACCAGCTACTTTGTATGTCACGCAGACGCTTATGACATATAAAACGAGCGTCCTCCGTTTCCGGTCCCGAACCGGTGGGCGACTGTGTCGCCTAACTACTGGGGACTACTGCGCATTATTATTGTCGCAATTAGTTACCTATGTAACCACCGCCACCGCCTCCTGTGAGACATCCACCACCTCCGCCACCGAATCCTCCGTTGCCGTGAGTCTGATTTTCAGGACTGCAACCGATTCCCCCTAAGCCACCTTTGACCAGGGACGCGCCGACCGAGGACGATCGAGCCGAAACGCTGTTTGACGACTCGTTCCATCCGCCGCCAGGGCCACCTAGGTCTACGTCACGTTATTTACGTTATTTACGTTATTTACAACATTTACGATCAACGCAACGACGCTTCCTTTCGAAGCTGCCAGCTGCAACTACGAATACGTGTATACTAAGCGTAAAAAGAGAAAAAAAGAAAAAGACGGTCCACCGAGCGGTGAACTTTAACCGTCCGACGTGGCTTCTTATCAAATAGCTCCGTGGCTATGTTCTAATATTAATAAAATTCCTAAAAACGCAGCAAACTCTGACTCGTTTTTTTTTTTTTTTTTTTTTTTTTTTTTTTTTTTTTTTTTTTTTT